TATTTCTTTACAGTCTACCTCATCATTGATATACAATGCTACTCCACCACCTTTACCTTTATTTCTGTCTTTCCTAAACAGCACATACCCTTCAATACCTGTACTCCAGTCATGCCTAGTATTCCACCATGTTTCTGTTATTCCTATAATATCTGGTTTCATTTCCTGGACCAGTAGCTCTAGTTCTTCCTTTTTGATACCTAGGCTCCTCGCATTGGTGTACAAACATCTTAATTTTTGCTGTTTGGCCTCACTCACCCAATTTAGCATGAACGTTGTACCTTCAATTTGACCTATTAGACTAGTATCCACTCTACCCTTCCTCCTTATGTCCATTCTCCTACCCCTGGCTATACCCTTTCTTGCTGTTTTCCTCCCTCTCAATGCTAAACTCCAGAGTAGAGATTACCTGGACATCTTCCAACCGTCTCCCCCAAATTCCTAGTTTAAAGTTCTTTTAACTTTTAATCAGTTTATCCATCCTAGAAGTCTATTTCCCTCCCTACTTAGATGCAGTCCATCCCGAGAGAACAGTCCTCTCTCCGTGAATGCCTCCTAGTGGCCATACATCCCACAGCCCTCCTTATAGCACCACTGCCTGAGCCATCTATTGATCATCATAATCCTATCACACCTTAGCTGCCCTTCGCTAGGAACAGGCAGAATCCCACCGAAGATCACCTGAGCCTCGATTTCCTTAAGCGTCTTCCCCAGCCTGGCATAGTCTCCCTTGATTCGTTCCAGCGAGAATCTAGCCGTATCATTTGTTCCTACATGAAGGATGATCAATGGATTCTTTCCTGCTCCCGTTAGGATCCTCTTCAAACTCTGTTCAATGTCCTGTATCTTAGCACCTGGCAGACAGCACACCCTTCTGTTCTCTGGATCAGCTCTGGTCACAGGCCTGTCTATTCTTCTCAATAAGGAGTCCCCAATCACGTAGACCTGCCTTTTCCTGGTCACGCTGCCATCAACAGGTTTGGTTCATCTTCAAGGTGCCACTAGACTATTCGTGGTTAAGTTTTACCTGTTACAGATTAACTCAGCTACCCCTCTGTCCTTTTCCCCGTAAGTCTGGGGTCAGCACAAACCGAACCTTGCTCCCTGGGGGCCTTTCTTCCTTTTCCATATTCACCGCCCCCATTCAGTGCACTATGCCAATTTCTGCTCCAGGGGGCATGGTGAGTTCTTTCCCCAGGGTAGCTGCACTGTGTCCATCCAGTCTGAAGTCCAGAGCTCTCTGGAGAGCAGGCGAACCTGGCTGGCCCTTGGAGATCTTGCTTGTAGGTTCCTGGCTGACAGCAGAGCAGTGGCTTGACAGAAGCAGAGTGGCTGGTGTCCTTGGTGGTGCATTGATACAGGGTAGGAGGCAGGACTGGCTCGGAGCTGCTGGCCAGAGCAGATTTCGAATGCAGTGTGTCCTGGTTTTGTGCAGGCTGGCGAGGGTCAATAAAAAAGGGTGGGTTCTCCCCTGGCTGGCCTCTTCTCCGGTCATCTACCTCCATGCCCAGCGGCTGTAAATTGGCCCCAGTTTGGATCTGGTTTCATGCTGGTGTCAGTGGTGACGCAGAGCAGGAGCAAGTTGGCTCCGAGGGGGTGAAGTTGGCAGCGCTCCTGGCGCCAGAACTCTTGGGGGAATCTGGACCCCAGCAACCCAGTGGGAGCTACTGTGTGCTCAGCACAATTGGAAATATGGCCCGTGTTCAGATCAGGCTGGGGGGAGCCAAGAGCGCTGGAAAATCCGACTCTTTTGTCCCTCAATCCTGTATTTTTCTGGTTGCAATTGAATACGTTGGGCCGTGGTGCTCATGAATCATTTGGCTGTTGCGTGCATGCTTCTAAGCACTCCTGTGTTACAATACTCTGTTAAACAGCTGTGCCGACCCACCCCAGAGCTGGTTGCATTCCAGTCAAGCATTGCCTCATCTGCTGGGTTGATTGATTTGTTTGCAGTGTGGGAGCATGTGGCTGTACCTGGCTGCCCTACTGGGGCTGTACTTCCTGCGCCGATGGTACCGGGAGCGGCAGACTGTGGAGAACCTACGAGAGAAACACGTCCTGATCACCGGCTGTGACTCTGGCTTTGGAAACCAGCTGGCCAGGCAGCTGGACGCACGGGGCCTGCGGGTGCTGGCAGCTTGTCTCACCCCGCAGGGAGCAGAGAAGCTGAGGCAGGCGACCTCGGAGCGGCTGCAGACGGTGATCCTGGACGTCACCCGCAGCGACAGCATCGCCGCGGTGGCTGCCTGGGTGAAGGTGCAAGTGGGGGACAAAGGTGGGGCCTCTAAATCCTCCATTTGCCCCATTGTTTTCTCCCTGCCTTTCCCAAGGACAGCTCTGAGTTCGCACAGGCTGGGGCGGTGCTAATGCAAGAAGCAGAAGAAGAGCGAGAATTCCAGGCTTTTATTCCCATCCTGGGGGGAGAGAGTGGGGTCTAGTGGTGAGAGCAGCAGGCGCTGGGAGCAAGGGCTCCTGGCTTCTATTCCAATTGTGGGGAGAGGGGGGGGGGGCTTGT